TATGTGTGTGTGTCTAGTTTTTATTCATTTTTTTCTGTTTTATTTTTATTTATTAGTATGTCAAATTAAATTAAAATGAGAATTGTTACCTTGGTAGCTAGCTGAATTTTTTTTGTAGTTAATGTTAAATTTGTTTCAAGTTATAAATAAATGTTTATTTATGGTATTAATTTTAGTTACAGTTTTAGTTAACCATATTAACTTGAAACAGACTAATAATTAATTAATAACAGCTAGTAAGGAAACTAGAACACAAGCACAATAATAATACAATTTTAAACCATTAAGTTAGTTTAGAATGTACTACCAAATGTGTAAGCTTGCGCGAATTTGATTAGTAACTTTGATATTTGCTTCTCTCTCAGTGCGCAAACGTCGGGGGGCTTTTAAGCACTCTGATGCAGGAGTGAGCAGAGACTCAGGACGACCTGTGAAGACGGGCAGTGCTCAGTTTGTCAGGGAGCTACGCAGCCGCACTTTTCCCAGGTATGGTCACAGGATGATTATTTATTGCCAGGTCAAAATTAGGCCACTAGGTGACTTTACTTTCTTAACCCAGATTAATTTAGCTCTGATCAGACTTTAAGCCGTGATTCATGCTGGGGCGAGCAATCTGTGGTGTTATTGGATTTTTAAAAGTTGTTTGAAAGATGATGAGTATGCTGGAAAACGTATTTGACATTTTATATGTTTGGGTTTAGTGCTGATGAAGTCCTGCTGAAGCCGACTGGGACCCAGCTCACGGTTGAGTTTCTAGAGGAGCGCTCCTTCAGCGTCCCAGTCCTGGTCCTCAGGAAAGATGGTCTGGGCATGAATTTGCCCCCGTCGTCTTTCTCTGTATCGGATGTAGAGCATTATATTGGTAAATAGCTCTAATCACATCTGCATTGCCATTCTATGCTACTTTTTCATGTTTGTGAAAAGTCATTTTTAGATGGGAATGTAATGTTTTATTATTGCTTCATAGGCGCTGACAAGGAAATTGATGTGATTGATGTCAACCGCCAATCAGACCTGAAGATGAAACTGGGAGAGTTCGTTGAGTACTACAACAGCCCAAACAGAGACCGAGTGCTCAATGTGATCAGCTTAGAGTTCTCAGACACCAGGTACTTTTTAGGGATGTGCAAATTTAAATCCACAAATGTCCATCTGAATGTGTACGGCTGTAGCAGCGGTGCTTTGAACGCATCATGAAATGGAAATGTATGCTTTATTGATCTTATTGTGATCGAATCATCCATAAACTCTTTCTTACAATCAACCACAAGCTAGAGTTCAGATTTGCTTCCTTCGATGTCCAATCAACAACCAATCGATTGATCCAAGTATTTTTTTCTACTTGATAACTGTCACTATTTCTGTTACATCACAACTTCAAAGGGGTTCAAAGATGCAACTTTTCTAACAGGATTTAACCTTGCAAACTGTCCTATAATTTTTGTCCCCTTTTGTAGGTTGTCAAATCTAGTGGAGACACCAAAGATCGTGAGGAAGCTGTCATGGGTGGAGAACCTCTGGCCTGAGGAGTCTGTTTTTGAGAGGCCTAATGTGCAGAAATACTGCCTGATGGGAGTGAAGGACAGTTACACAGACTTTCACATCGACTTTGGTGGAACCTCTGTGTGGTACCATGTACTCCGGGTTAGTTGTTTTCTATAAGTCCTATTTAGTGCAAAATAGCGGAGAAAGCAGGGAAGGTCTATGTATTTCATTACTTCAGAAAGCATCATGCTTTGTCCTCAAGACAAAAGCGTTCTTATGTATTTCTTTTTATACATGTCAGGGTGAGAAGATCTTTTACCTCATTCGTCCCACTGCTGCTAACCTGTCGCTTTTTGAGCGCTGGAGTTCATCCTCCAATCAGAATGAGCTGTTTTTTGGGGACCAGGTAGACATGTGCTACAAATGTTCACTAAAGCAAGGAAACACCCTCTTCATCCCAACAGGTACTGTCTCTGTTTCTGCCAGATTTATTTCAAAAATAACTTTCTTTGCATATCCCATGTGACTGAGAAATTTCAATTAGATTTATAATGGTGATTCTTTGTGCGATAATTGTCTGCTTCAGGATGGATTCATGCTGTTTTGACCCCTGTGGACTGTTTGGCATTCGGAGGAAATTTTCTACACAGCCTTAACATTGACATGCAACTTCGGTGAGATGATGCTTCTATTTGTCTCCTTACTCTAAGTAGTATTGTACTGGGCTTTTTCATTGGTCATCCCTTTCTTTTTTTTCTGTCAGAGCGTATGAAATCGAAAAGCGACTGAGCACGGCAGAATTGTTCAGGTTTCCAAACTTTGAGACCGTGTGCTGGTATGTTGGCAAGCATCTGCTGGACACCTTCAGAGGTAAGGTTTCTCCTCAAAGCAAATGGTTGTTTTTACTGCTTAGTTTTGTTTTAATACAACATTCTTTTATGTAACTTCAATTTTTTTCAATCCGCTTTAGGTCTAAGAGAGAATCGACGGCATCCTGCCACGTACTTGGTCCACGGAGCTAAAGCTCTCAATAATGCTTTCCGAAGCTGGACACGGAAGGAAGTAAGTTTAATTATGTTACATGCAGAACTGGGTAATTCATTGGCTGTATATGTTATATACAAATGATACATTCACAAAACATTCAGTTCATTTTCATTTCCTTGTTTCACTTAGTTGATTCAAAACTCTAGTTCAATAATTAATTTGCATCATCACTGGAAAATGTTCACTAAATAACTTAAGTGAATATATGTTGGTAAGTATTGCTAATATTTGGATCATATAAATAATAATAATATATATTTCCTTGTGTTCATTTAGTGAAAAAGCAACTGGAAAACCAGATTTTATTGTATTTTACGTGTAATTTTTAGTACATTTGTTACAGTATAATTGGTTTGAATGAAATGTTTTTACCATTATTGGAAAAAACACCCTTTTAAATATTAGATTTATACAGAATTTTGTCAAAAGGCTAAAAAGAAGAATTTTAGATATGTCTGTGATATGTCATCTGTCTCAAATTATGTGCTAAATGTTTCAAATATTTGTTTGTCTTCCCATTGTTTTCTACCATCATAAATCACTTAATAGCAGTTATGTGTGATGATACAAAGTTTATATTGGTTGTTTTTGTGATATTTTATTTTTTCAGTCCCTGGCTGAACATGAACATGAGATACCAGAGACTATAAAGACCCAGCAGTTAGTGAAGGATCTGGCAAAGGAGATACGCCTGGTTGAGGTGAGAGTAGCTCTGACTTAAATTTTGAAGGAAAAACTCAAGTGGCTTTTGTCTTAGTCAATTTTTGTGTCCTTTTTTGCAGGATATCTTCCAGCAGAACATCGGCAGGAGTGGGACACCATTTGGTGGCTCTCAGGGTCTTCCCTCTCCACACCCCAAAGCTCCATTAAACACAGCCCTCACTTTTGGCCAGCACCCTGGTAAAAAGAGAGGCCCCAAGTCGAAGGATGGATTTGGAGGAGGGGCTGTCAGCCTTCCAGGAGCTAAGAAAAAGAGCCAAAAAGGCAAAGAGATAAAAACAGAAGCCGGAGAGCTGGACCTGCTGGAGATTCATACTAAACACACGCTCAAGAAGTTCCAGCCAGGATGCAAAGTAAAAAAGAGCAAGGTAGAATTTAGAATACTTTAATCAATCAATATTATGTTTATAAAATTACCATCCAAAAGGTTGGGGTCAGTAAGAATTTTTTTGTTTTAAGAAAGTATTACTTTTAATCAGTAAGAATGGATTCAATTGATCAAAATTGACAGTAAAGACATTTAATGTTACAAAAGACTGATAAATCAACTGTCTATTCGTCAAGCAGCACAGCTTTTTTCAACATTGAGAATAAAAGGAAATAATCATGTGACAATGAAGACTGGACTAATGGCTGCTGAAAATTCATCTTTGCCATCACAGGAATAAACTAAAAAATAAATGAAATTAAAATAGAAAACAGTTGTATTTTAACATTGTAATAATAATATTATTGTTTTCATTGTTATTTTGATCATGTAAATACAGCCGATCCCAAGTTTTTGAACAGTATTGTACATATTATTGTTATAGTTATGATTGATTATTATTATATATTCTCTGCCTGTTATATTATTACTTTTCATAATTTTTTACTTTTCAAGTAAATTTGTTTAAAAAATGTTAAATTAAATAAAAAAAATAAAAAAATTTCCCGTGTTTAAAAACAAATACTGATTAAGAAAAAGGATTTTTTTATTATGGAACTAAAGCTGAAAAACTAGTACTTTTTTCCTAATATCATCATTGTAAAGAACATTATTTGGCTTTTCAGCTTGAGCTGCCTGATGACTGTCTAGATGATTTTGAAGAGAAGATCAACAAGAGCAAGCTTAAGCTTGTGCTGACTAATGGAAAGATACAAGGGTAAAACAGTTCTTCACTCATTTCCCTCTTGTCAGGGATTTTCAGTGTTACGCATTGGCACCTTTATTTTTAATACCTCCTCTTCTTCCTCTCTTAGGAAGAAGGGTCGTGCTGGCAGTGCAAATGGAGCCGGGAGTTCACTTCAACAGTTCCAGCCCCACATGGCTACTTTGTCTGACTTTGATTCAGAAGATGATCTTCAGATTGATGAAACCCCTCCACCTCGCCGCAGACCGTCTCTACCTAGCAAGAAGAAATTAGCTGGTAAAAGATTTCTCACATTTATTGATAATGCTTGCATGATTTCATTGTTTATGCATCATTTACAAACAATATTTAAATTTAATAACATTTTAGTATGAACTAATAGTTGGCTCAATGGTGTCTTTAAGGTCTACCAAGGAAACTACCTCGGGCCAAACCATGCAGTGACCCCCACAGAATCCGTGAGCCAGGAGAAGTGGACTTTGATATTGAGGTATGCAAGTCTATATTAGGCAGCTTCAGATTCCTCTCTAGGTGTCTGGTTGTCACCAGTTTTCTATCTTGTTGTTAAATAGGAGGATTACACCACAGATGAGGAGATGCTTACAGTGCAGGGTGTAAAAGGCGGAGCAGGTGGGATTTTAGACTTGCTCAAGGCAAGCAAACAGGTGGCGGGTCTCGATTCTGCACTGAGGTACTTAACACGCACATTTTTTATACTACATGCTGATCATTATTAGCCTTTATCTCAGTGAAATATGCAGTTATGTACTTGCTGTTATACTCAATTCTATTGATTTTCCCCTTATCAAGTGAGGAAGCACCAGCCTCCCCCAGCACGCGTGATGCTATCCAGGGCATGCTCTCGATGGCCAACCCTCCATCTTCTTCATCCTCTTCCTCCTCCTCCTCTCCTCTGTCCATGTCTGGAGGAGGTGAGATGCTGGGGCTTATGAAGGAGAAAGGATGGAGAGCTGAGAGGATAAGTGGAGTCAAGAAGAGTGAGAAGACCACATTTCAGAGGCCAGGAAAACGGCCCGTTAAACGTCCTGCACGGCACCTCAGTGATGAAGAAAGCTTGGATGAACAGGAGACCCTGGGTACCTGTTTTAAAGACTCTGATTATGGTGAGTTCACAGATTCATCGACGTTTACACCATTGCAAACATACACAGCAGAGGAAATACTGCGATCCTATGTGATTCTGTTTAAAGGAGAATTTCCACCTTCTTCTACAGTGTATCCATCACTAGAATCTGACGAGGAGGATCACATAAGCAAGTCTAAAATGAAAAGAAAGCGAAACTGGGATGATACACCCTGGAGTCCTAAAGGTAACTGTGTTTTTGATTCATTTATTTGATTTTGTAGCATTTCATTTCGAAACAGTTCTAACATAATTTCTTCACACGTCCTCAGCCCGCGTGACCCCTACACTGCCCAAGCAGGAGCGACCAGTGAGAGAGGGTGCAAGGGTGGCATCTGTAGAAACGGGGCTTGCAGCTGCTGCCGCCAAACTGGCACAACAGGTGAGCTTCTGTCCAGAACTTCTATAGATGTGGACTATTTCATACCATTACTTTGTGTGTGCACCTTTAAAAGTGTTTGTTTTATTATTTTCAAAATATCCTTTGAATGTAGTCAATATTTGTTCATGTCATATTAATTTTAGTAAATTTTACCAAAATGGCATCTAATTTTAGTCTTTGAAAAAGAAAATTTTAGTTGACAATGAAATGTAAAATTAAACCAAATATTAACTTTTTAAATATATGACATTATATATATTAATTGAGGAATAAAAACATGTATAAACATGATCTCTTGAAATAAAATGGTTTAAGTTATTTGCTGTCCATGTTTTATACGTTTTAGTTTGTTGTTGGAGAAAAAGTACTGTTGGCATGTTTTAACTATAATTGGATTTTTAAAACATCCAATTATAATCATATTTATAAAAAATAAAAAAAATTTCTACAAAAACATTGACACACTATAGATCAAATTGTGTAGTCTATAAAAACATTTTTATGTTTCTGAAGGAAGTCTCTTGTGCTCAAAAATGCAGCATTTATTTATTTTAAAATACAGTAAAAATAGTAATATTCTGTAATATTACTACAATTTAAAATAGCTGTGCTGCATAACATTTCTGTGGAATCCTAAACATTTTGTTTATAAACATTAATAATATTTTTGTTGTATTTTTTCATCGGTGCTATAATTTAATATACTTAAAATTATTAGATTTTTGTCATTATGCTATTTTTTTTTCTATTTTGGTCTTGTCTCTATCATTGACAATCAAAAAACTATTTTTGTCAGTATTTTTCTTGACAAGATTAACACTGAGCTAAACATCTTGTTACTTTAATATCAGGAACAGCAGAAAACCATAACCAAGAGAAAATACACCAAGAAGAAGGTCCCTCAAGAGAAAGTACATTCTGCAGCTGCCCAACTCCAGCGCCAGCCGGACTCTGCACCCGTGTCTCCTCCTCTGCCCTCTGAGCCTCCTGTGGACTGCATAGTTGAGGAGAGGAGAGTGGAGGTGTACTCTGCCAGCCTGCTGGACCACGAGTACACAGCAGGACCTGGTCCGTTCAGCCCAGGGGGCCCAAGAGGAAGTGGTGCCATGGCCCCTGGCGTGTTCCTGACTTCAAGACGCCCCTCACTCTCTCCCCAAAACAGCAGCAGCTACTCTCCCTCTGCCCCCTCACCCGGAGGGCTGGCTACTTCAGCATCAGCAGTAGCATGTCAAGGTAACTGGAATTACTGAACGTTACCTATTACAGGTTAAGAGTTCGGAATCACGCTGAATTTTTTCACTCTTCTTTCTTACAGGAAAACGTCCAAAGAAAGGACTTGCTACGGCTAAACAGAGACTGGGAAAGATTCTGAAAATACATCGAAACGGCAAGCTTCTCCTGTAGTTTGATAATATGGAGAGGAGACTGCAGGGAACAATAGAGGAGGAGAAAACGAATAAGGATGAGAGAGGACCTGAGTGATTTTGGTGTTAATTTATGTGACTGTTTTATGGTTAATGTTCTGCTAGCCTGGTTTTTATTTGCATCATCGGGACGAAAAGTGAAAAGAACGGCAACTTGCTGTGATAAATTCAATTGAAATCCATTTAGCATGGTGTTTTAGAATAGAAATACTATTTGAAAAACAAATGGAGCTAAACATACGGATACATTAATGGAGTGATGACTGTATTGCTAATTGTTTTCCCATCATTTTCAGTGCTCCACCTCTGAAAACAAACTGCGTACATGTACACTCCCCTTAAACCCTGTTTGTTTCATAGTTGAGTTTTAGTTTTAACGTATATTTCTAAAAAAAAAAAAAAAGCTGAATGCTGAGGAGCACTTGATGTTAGATCAAATTGCCTAAAGCCATTGCAAACAAAAATATTACATTGTTCAGAAGGTTTATTTGTAAAACTGACTTCCCAAATAATAGGATTGAGGTTGTTGTTTGGCCTGAATTGTCCCATGGATGAGAGGAGATCCAATTCTTTAGTCATTACCTCAGCAATTTGTAAACGTCACACTTTCTCATGGCTATTTGTCCTGGTCCAATCTCCTCCTGAAGTCATGCATATTATTAGTTTACATGCTTCATTTAGTATCTGTTCATATCAAATTATTTTATACCATAGAAGGCAATTTGATACACAATTGACTGTAATTGCTGTAGATGAAGTCCTGTAGTAATGTCTCTTTGCTTGTTGAAATGTTTTTACAGTAGTGTACTAACACATTTTTATCAACAAATGTATTTTAGATGTGTATATACTTTAAGTTCGTCTTGTTTTATTTGTTTTCCACTTAGCATGGGCAGCATAATATCCTGCCACCATTTGGCCAGGGTTGTCTTTCCCATCTATAGTTCAGCTCCATGTTGTAGAGGTTGAGTTCAGTGGTGGGCACATTTTAGTAATTGTAAAGAACACAGAAATTGACTTGGGAGCAGTTTGAGATCATATGGGTGGTTCTGTAGGTTCAGTGTACATATTTGGTGTTTTATTATTTTTTTTATTATTATTAACGTTTTTCTTTAGAGAGAAATTGCATTGGAATCTTTCTTGAAACACCTTGTACAAAAATATATGTTTTGGGTAACAGTAACAGCATAAGAGTTGTTTAGTCGGTTTTATTTGTATAGGATAATTATGCTGTTATTTTTCATTGAAGCTTATGATATTAGCAATGTGATGAAGTTAATGTATTCTATTGCTATTTCAATGTTATTGTTTATTTAATTTTTTCCCCCACTTATCAATAATATTAATTTTAACGTCAATATACTTTAGTTTTGCTTATATATATATCACACACATATATATATATAATACTCCATTCTAGAAGAGTTAAATGTAACATTTTCTTGTAATTTTATGTAATGGCAACAATATTTTTTTAGTTTTCTCCTTTGACCATTATGTCTATAATCAGCACCAAAAATATTGATAAATCAGTGGGCCAGTGTAAATATTATTTTACTTTTTTGTTTTTTCCTAAAAATGTCACAGATTGTCACCCTGCCGAACTGTCATCATGCCATCCACATATAATTAGAAACTTGTTTTGAGGTTTGTAGAAATTTGTTTTTGAACGTAAAATAACGGAAGACAGTTGTTGGAATATTCTGGTAAAACTATTATTTTTAGACATTGTTTTCAGATGACTCTGAAATTTAAAAGGATATTTCTGTAATATTTAGAGTTTTTTGTACATTTATTTGATTTGTGATCATCTTCACATCGTCTCTTAATGTTGCTACTTACACTCATATTTTACTAAACATCTGTGCCTTCAGTGAAGTCCCAAACATAGCAACCTCTCTTACTGAAACTGTGCATCTCTGCACATCTTTTGATACTAGATACTTTAGTTTAATGGCAACACTTGTCTACCGAGACAGCTATTCAGGATTTCTGGAAATTGACAGTGAAAAAAGGGAATGATGTGAAGCAAGATGTGCAACAAAGAAAGTGTTCAAAAACCTCAAAATATGTAAGAATTGACTTTTAAATATGTTCTTATTAAAACTTACATTTACTTAAGTTATTCTCCTCTTTATCACCTGAAGTTAATTGTGTGCATTTTAGGATTTATTTATCTTTTAACCATTTTCTTGTCTGTTAAAGTTTATTTTGAATTAATGTTGATCACACAGTTGCTCTCAGGGTTTATTTTGTATCTAATATCATTTTGATAGAATCGTTTAAAAAGATCAACAGTAGTGTTAGGAGTTCACATTCAGGACCACTTAAAAATCAAGTCAAATTTGAACCCATTTAATATTTATAATTGGACGTTGTCTTTTGCTATTGTCACCACCTTTGGTTTTTGAAACGGTTTGAGCAGATTTTTCCAAATGACCTCTATTAAAAGATATTTTTAAAAATCGTTTGCATTTTTGTCATTATAAGCCTATTTTCCTCTGCAAGTGTCATGTGGTCTCTCACGTGCTTACTGAGTCAACTCCACATTTACCCGAGAACAAGCTTCTTTGTCTCTTTCAAGAGTTCAGAATTCTATTGTGCGCCAGACGTTAAAAAATAATAAACCCATGAAAATAGAATGAACGGCACAAACGGAATTAGTCACGTGATTTAAAACCGCATCTCTGTTGCCATAGTAGTGTCAATGGCGGTCAGCGATTGGCTGAGGCCACGTCTCAGTCAGCCAGTCAAAATGCGCGCTTTTTACAAACTACTCCGGAAGTCAGCAGGCCAGGCTAGTTGTTTTCTAGAGCCTGGGCCAGGGGAGAGTGGCTTGGTGTGGAAAGTCCTGTAGCTTAAAAACGAACATAAAAAGCTACAGTTTTTGGATACTGTCTAAGCCCAGGCCAGGTTAGTACAAATATATATCTGCCGTCTTGTTCACTTTATACGTAACTTTATACATAACACTGAGTACTCAGAGTTTGCGTATTTGCAGTTTACTGACGCTCTACACTGTTATGGCTTTATAGTAGTAACGTTATAGTTTTTAATGATTGAGCCTACATTTCAACGTTTTGAGACCACTCAAGTGCCGTCTTGTTTATAGGCACTGAACCCCTCTCGAGATGGCGTCCTCTAACCCTCTGAGACCCCAGAACAGAAGTCAGCAGGATCAAGCAGGGTGAGTGAACTGATCATGAATATTTATATCAGCCTTGAGCCTTCTCCTCCACAAGTAACATTGTCTCAGTCTCTCCTCCTTAAATGATTCAAGTTATGCATTTGACAGGAACTATTCAGAATGTTAATTTTGCTTTGAGCAATTTTGTCACTACACCTGTCAAGAAATATATATTTCACTCAAAACTAAAGAAATATGTAAAATAAATAAATAAATAATGCAAATTAGAACAAAACATGATTTGTAACATTGTTTTCATAACAGTTAAACACATTTTAGTGTTTCAAAATGTATTGTAATGAATCTTGTATTATCTTTCTCGTAGCTAAACATTTCATTAATCATTTGTTTTGTTATCAAAAATGTTTCATTTAGGAAAAAAAGTCAAGTTATGTCCATGCCACAAAAAAATAAATGAATAAAATAGTGACAAATATTTAAAAATATCAGAGTTATTCAGAGTTATGCTTTTTCAGGACAATTAAACACATTTTACCCTCTAATTTGCATTACTGTAGTGGATCTGATATCGTCTTGCTCAGTTTTTGAATAATTCATTAATCTTTTTTAAATATTATTTTTTTTAAATTAAAACCAATAATTAGTTTAATGACTGAATAGTTAATGTAAGCATAAAAACTGGATAATCGTACAGTGATGCTGTGGTGCTGATTTCTGATCCATTATTTTCAATGCCATTAGGATCTGGAAGAATCAGGAGTTGAAGACAAAAAGTGCTTCCTCTAAAAGAGAATCTGAAAATTTGGACCCCAATGCTTCTGGTGAAACTGGGAAAGGAGTCGGTAAACTCAAAGGCATCAGCAGGCTTCCTGTCCTTGCCAAATCTCTGCAACCAGCCCTAAGTGAGCTCTCCCAAAATCCCAGTCACAACAGCTGGGAACAGAGGCCTCTAACAGTAAGGATACACTTAAGTGTTATTTTAGTATTTTTTTTATATAGTCTTATATTTTTTTTATGAATATTATTAGAATATTACAATTAGCTTTTATTTTCTTTTTTCTTTTAGATTTGATGTTTTAGGTTTTTTTTTTTTTAAGTGAGCTCTCCCAAAATCCCAGTCACAACAGCTGGGAACAGAGGCCTCTAACAGTAAGGATACACTTAAGTGTTATTTTAGTATTTTTTTTATATAGTCTTATATTTTTTTTATGAATATTATTAGAATATTACAATTAGCTTTTATTTTCTTTTAGATTTGATGTTTTAGGTTTTTTTTTTTTTTTTGATAATGTGCTTTTGTCATTTATTTCATTTAACATTTCTGTATAGCTTTCATTTCAGTTTTAATTTTAGTACTTAAAAAAAACTTAAACAGACATTTCCTTGTCAACTGCCTGAAGTACGTTTAAGTTCTAATTTAATATTTATTTTATTTCAGGTTTTTTTTAATATCAACAATTATTTTTAATTTTTCAGAGTAAAGCTCAAAAAAAAAGGACCTGCACCAAACCTGTTCCTTTCAATTTGTCCCAGTCACGCACACACAGTCAGAGAAACACAGGTGATCCCCAGGGAAAAGCACCCCTGATGCCTTCTACTCGACTAACACCAGGGGCAAAAGTGATGAACTTGAATCCAAGTGCCAAAACTAAAACTCCAAGCCATAAAGCTACGACACCAGGTGTCCTCAGGGCTCAGGCCAACAAATCACAGCGACTGCAGCCTGGTAGTCATGTAGAATACATGGCATCAAATAAAGATTCCACTGATGTTCACCCACCTTCACATGAATCCGGATGCTGTAGTCACACCGATTTAAGTTCACGTTTAGGTAGCATCACTCTTAAACAATCTAAGCTTCCCGAAGACTCGGGTTTGAGTCATTTATGTAAAACGTCACTCATTAAAGTAGATGTTAATTCCGATAATCAAGCACCAAAGGACAAGCACTGTTTCCCATCAACAACACAAAGGCATGTAATCACTGAAGGTGAGTGACATAATGTCAGATCTTTTCTTATTGTGTCAATCAAGTCCGTGTTCAAGTTCGATCTCAACTGTATTAATAGTTCTTTGTTTAATTTAGCCACTGGTTGATTATAATTGATGTATGTAACTATGAGTGCAGGATCATAATCAAATCTTTCATCAGCTGTGCACAGTGTCCTCACATGTGAGGGATCAAGTGCTGTTGGAGCACAATGCCTGATGCCACGTTTATCTACCTGCCCCCCTGGACCAGGAACCTCCAATAATCTGGTTAGGAATTGTAGAAAATCTCCGTAATAAAACCAAAATGTTTACCGACCCTTTATGAGGATCACGACCGTTGTCTTTTTAGTCTAGTATGTGCTCTGGTGCTCATATATTTTGATCTTTTAGCCTCAAAGAGTTATGAAGAAGAGTCATGGCGTTGATGTCACCACAGGTTAGTTCATTTTCAAAGACTCCAACTTTTCTCATTGATCACAGAGTGTAAGCTTTATAGTTCTCCTTTCATCTCAAGACAAGGCTGGGCTGTTTTCCCCTGACCCTTCAGCGCTACGTAGTATTCTACAGAGTGATGGAACGAGACTGGGGGAGCATGTTGGAGCAACACCCAGAGCATCAGCCTGTCCTACTGGCAGAGGAACCTCTATTTATTCTGTGAGTGCATTCCTTTGTTTAATGTCCATTCACACATTGATTATGATATTTTACTTCTGAATGGTCAATTTAGGCAGAAAAAGATGTGAAATAGAAGAACTGATTTTTAATAGTGACCTCGTCCACTTTAGGCTCAAAGAGTACCTGCCAAAAAGACTCAAAAAGAAGCTCCAGCAGAGGCCAAAAGCCCTACAGGTATTTAAAGCTGATTTTTCAGCAGCCATTACTCCAGACTTCATGATTCTTCAAAAATCATTCTAATATGCTGGTTTGGTGCTTAAGAAACATTTATTATCACTAGTAAATGGTTGTGCTGCTTAATATATTTTTTTCTGGATTTTTTGATGAATAGAAAGTCCCTAAAGTGTTTTGAATAAAAAGAATAGAGAGATTAAGACTTTTAACAAATTGTGTTCATTAATTTGTGTATGGTTTGTGCCTGCAGGAAGTGCCTTCTCTCCTGATTCATCAGCGCTCCGTAGTATTCTACAGATCAATGGAGCAACACCTCATGCACCGACCGGCCTTACTGGCAGAGCTACTTCTGTTTACTCAGTAATGCTCAGTTCACATTTGTTGTCTTAAAGGGGTCATATGATGCGATTTCAATTTTTCCTTTCTCTTTGGAGTGTTACAAGCTCTTGGTGCATAAAGGAGATCTGTAAAGCTGCAAAGACTAAAGTCTCAAATCCAAAGAGATATTCTTTATAAAAGTTAAGAGTTAACCACGCCTACCTAAAACGGTTCGTTCTAACACGCCCCCACAT